GTTTTGATCACCTGCCCAGATAGGCACATGTGCTTCTGCCCCCCCCCCCCTTTGCACCCTAGTAAAACTGCTCTAATATGCATTTTCTCCCCATGTAAACAATTCCACTATATTGCAAATATAAAGAACTATACAATTTTGACTTTTTTATACATTAGGAATAGTTTATAAATTAACCTTCTTTCTATTATATTTAGTTTATTAAAGATTATATGATTTATATGACCTTAAGAGATTTAAAATATAGTGTCATTAATAGGTTTCACTAATAGTTTATATTATGTTATAACTAACACTGAATTATATATAGGCACTTACTCTGGATAATTATATATTATGATGTTTATCTGTTTTATTATTATTATTATTATTATCACAATTTATATAGATTCTGTAGCGCTTTGCAATATTGTGAGAGGGGTGATTTAACCATAAGTAGAACAATTACAAGAAAACTTACAGGAAGAGGACCCTGCTCAAATGAGCTTACAGTCTATAGGAGGTGGGGTATACAACACATAAGGACAGGAAGTATCAATCAAATAAGGTGGGCAGAGCTGGAGGAGAGAGTAGAGTGCTGCCATTTAGGAGAGAGCAAGAGACCGGTACGTAAGGTAGAGGTTACTCTGGGAGGCCATAAGCTTTCCTAAAGAGATGGGTTTTAAGGCACTTCATAAATGATTGAAGACTAGGGGAGAGTCTGATGGAGGTAGGCAGGCTATTCCATAGGAAGGGAGCCACTCGCGAGAAGTCCTGCAAGCGCAAGTTGGCCGTACGGGTGCGAGCAGCGGACAGGAGAAGGTCACGGGCAGAGCGGAGGGACCGAGAAGGGGTATACATATGGATCCATGAAGAAAAATTAGAGGGGATATAATTGTTCAGTGCTTTATATGTATGGGTTAGAACTTTGAATTGACTCCTATAGGATACAGGAAGCCAATGTAAGGACTGACAGAGGGGTGAGGTGTGAGAGGACCGACTAGAGAGGAAAATCAGTCTGACGACGGCATTCATTACAGACTGCAAAGGGGCAATATGGCTTTTGGGAAGACCAATGCGGAAAATTACTATACGGGATGTGGGCTATGTTTTTAAGTTGGAATCAACAGGATTCTACAACATACTGGATGTGAGGCTCAAAGGTGAGTCAAGTATGACGCCAACACAGCGTGCTTGCAAGGATGGAGTTATGTGGATACCACTAACTTGAATGGAGAGTGAGAGAGGAGGATCAGTATTAGGAGGAAAGGCAAGGAGCTCAGTTTTAGAGAGATTGAGTTTCAGAAAGCGGGAGGACATCCACTCAGAGATGGAAGAAAGGCAAGCAGTGACACGTTGCAGGAAGTCAGGGGAGAGGTCCAGGAGGAGAGATATATCTGAGTGTCATCAGCGTACAAGTGGTAGTGGAATCCAAAAGAGGCAATAAGTTTGCCAAGAGAGGCAGTATAAAGAGAAAATAGAAGGTGACCCAGGACAGAGTCTTGGGGGGAATCCAACCGAGACAGGACGAGGGGAGGAAGTATCCTTCGAAAAGACACTGAATGAGCATTGGGAGAGTTAAGAGGAAAACCACGAGAGGACAGAGTCACAGAAACCGAGCGATTGAAGATTTTGAAGAAGGAGAGCATAATCAATGGTGTAAAAGGCAGAGAGGTCAAGAAGAATTAGTATGGAGTAGTGGCCTTTGGCTTTTCACTGTGATTAGGTCGTTAGTAACTTTGATAAGCGCAGTATCAGAAGAGTGGAGAGGGCAGATGCCAGACTGAAGAGGGTCAAGGAGAGAGTTGGAATTGAGGAAGCAAGACACATGGGTAAAGTCAAGTCTTTCCAGCTTTGAGGAAAATGGGAGCAGGGATCTAGGACGATAGTTAGAGGGGGAGGATGGGTCAAGAGATGTTTTTTTTTTTCAGGATAGGTACTACAGTGGCATGTCTAAGGTCAGCAGGAACAATGCCAGAAGAGAGAGAGCAGTTGAAGATGTGTGTTAAGGAAGGCACAAGACAAAGGGAGAGAGATCTGATGAGGTGAGACAGGAAAGGATCGTGCGGGCAAGTGGTGGGCCAAGATGAAAGGAGAAGCTCAGCCACATATTGTTCAGTAGCCAGAGAGAAATACTGAAGGATAGGAAAGCATGATCTACATGTGGTTGAGAAAGAAATGACAAGGTGGGGAGAATTATTTCCTTAGCTGTTCAATCTTGTCGCTAAAGTAGCATGCAAAGCTATCGGCTGAAAGGCTAGTGTGAGGTGGTGGTCACATCAGGGTGAAGAAGAGAATTAAAGGTGTCAAAGATGCCTGGGATTGTGGGAGCTTGAACTAATGAGAGTGGAAAAGTATGACTGTTTGGTGAGGGCAAGGGCTGCGCTGAATGAACATAATATGAATCTATAATGGAGAAAGTTTGACTGGGTGCACTTCACACAGAATGGGATTTCACTCCTTGAATTGTGATTTATTAATGCCCATTCTTTATTTTTCGACAGGTATAATGTGGTTATAAGAATATATATTTTCTTAAAGGACCACTATAGTGCCAGGAAAACATACTCGTTTTCCTGGCACTAAAGTGCCCTGAGGGTGCCCCCACCCTCAGGGACCCCCTCCCGCCCGGCTCTGGAAGGGGAAAGGGGTAAAAACTTACCTTTTTCCAGCGCTGGGCGGGGAGCTCTCCTCCTCCGATCCTCCTTCTCTCCTCCCCGTCGGCTGAATGCGCACGCGCGGCAAGAGCTGCGCGCGCATTCAGCCGGTCACATAGGAAAGCATTCATAATGCTTTCCTATGGACGCTGGCGTGCTCTCACTGTGAAAAATCACAGTGAGAAGCACGCAAGCGCCTCTAGTGGCTGTCAATGAGACAGCCACTAGAGGATTAGGGGAAGGCTTAACCCATTCATAATTATAGCAGTTTCTCTGAAACTGCTATAATTATGAAAAAATGGGTTAACCCTAGAAGGACCTGGCACCCAGACCACTTCATTAAGCTGAAGTGGTCTGGGTGCCTAGAGTGGTCCTTTAATATATTTAGGTATTTTAAGTACTCCACCTGTTTCTATCTTATCCCCCTGTCTCATGTTTCCTCCAAGCTATAGATATTAAGATCCTTTAATCTTTCCTTGTAAGTTTTATCCTGTAATCCATATACTAGTTTAGTAGCCCATCTGTGAACTCTCTCCAAAGTATCAATATCCTTCTGGAGATACGGTCTCCAGTACTGCATACAATACTCCAAATCAAGTCTCACCAGTGTTCTGTACAATGGCATGAGAACTTCCCTCTTTCTACTGCTAATACCCCTCCCTATACAACCAAGTATTCTGATAGCATTTCCTGCTGCTCTATTACATTGCCTGTTGACCTTTATGTCATCTGAAATAATTACCCCTAATTATTTTACATTTCTGCTGTGTTTGTATTTAGCTGTAATTTTTCTCTTTCTCATTTACTGTACCCACACAAATTATATACAATTATTTTTGCCATTAAATGGTCTTTATAAAGATACCATTATTTTCATCACATCATATCATTTAATATAAAAAAAATTATGAAATATGATGAAATGTTTTTAAAAACACACTTTTTCTAATTTTTAACCCCCAAAATCTTATGCATCTACATCCGCCAAAAAACACCCATGCTAAACAGTTTCTAAATTTTCTCCTGAGTTTAGAAATAACATGTTCTTAGCTTTTTTTATGCAAGTTATAGGGCTGTAAGTACAAGTAGGACATTGCTGTTTCAAAATATATATTTGTAAAAAGTATCCATAGTGACACTGTAACACTGTTATCTGTCATAAGTCTCTAAATCACACCTCACATGTACATATTTTTTTAAAATAGACAACCCAGGGTATTCAAATGGGGTATGTCCAGTCTTTTTTAGTAACCACTTAGTGACAAACACTGGCCAAATTTAGCATTTATATTTGCTTGTGTGTTAAAAATTTTAAAAAACAATTACGAACGCTAACTTTGGCCAGTGTTTGACTACTGGCTACTAAGAAAGACTGAACATACCCCATTTGCAAGACCTTGGGTTGTTTTCTATTGCAAATGGTATGCCATTATGGGGTAATTCTCATTCCTGGGCTACCATACGCTCTCAAAAGCAACATAACCAATTAAGGAAATTTCAATGTGAAAAAATGGAAAATCAAGCCTTTTATTTGACCCTTTAACTTTCAAAAATACTATAAAACTTGTACATGGGGTTAAGGTTATACTCGGGAGACTTCGATGAACACAAATATTAGTGTTTCAAAACAGTAAAACATATCACAACAATTATATCATCAGTGAAAATGCCATTTGTGTGTGAAAAATGCAAAAAAATTTAATTTCACTGACGATATGATCGCTGTGATATGTTTTACTGTTTTATAATATAAATAATACAATATAAAGTTATTATATATATTATATATATATACATATGGATCTAGAAAAAGTGCAGAGACAAGATGCAAAATTGATAAAAGGTAATGAGCATTTTAGTTATGAAGAAAGGTTAAAACATTTAAATATCTTTAGTTTAGAAAAACGGCGCCTGAGAGAGGATATGATAACATTGTACAAATATATTCGGGGCCAGTACAAACCATTATCTGGAAATCTATTCATAAATAGGGCAATACATAGGACATGATGTCACACATTTAGGCTGGAAGAAAGAATGGTTTCATCTAAGGCAAAGAAAAGGTATTTTTGCAAAAACATAACATACAGGGATATAATTTCTAATCAGTGAGGTAATAGCTGTTTGATCCAAAGAGACATCTGACTGCTATTTTGGGGTCAAGCAGGTAATTTTTTTCTAGTTTGTTGCAAAATTTAACTGCTTCATACCCCCGGTCAAGCAATATTGTCTGTAAAAGGGCATTCCCTTTAAAATTGTCCTCCTGCTTTATAATGCCCCAGGCCACCCCCCAGCATCTTGATGATCTAAACCCAGATGTGCGTGTAGTGTGCCTGCCTAAAAATGAGTGCTATCCTACAGCCAATGGACCAGGGTGCTATAGCAACGATCAAAGCGTACTATTTGCGCAAACCTTTTTCCAAAGCTGTAGCAGAAACAGAACATGGTGAAGTAACCCTTCATGGATTTTGGAAATCATACAACATTTTACACTGCAGAAACAACATTAAATCAGCTTCGGATAAAGTAACAGAAAAGTGTATGCAAGGTATATGGCAAAAATTCCTAAAACGTTTTGTCAATAACCATAAAGGGTTTGACAGAGACCAGTATATTGATGGCATAAATCAAAAAGTTGTGGAATCTGATAATGTGCTTAATTTAGATGTTGAAGTGGAAGATATTGAAGAATTAGTGGAATATGTCGAGGGAGAGCTAATGAAGATTTAGTAGAGTTGGAAGCACAGCAACACTTGGAAGAGGAAGAAGAAGGAAAGAATGGAAGAAGAAGAAAAGAAGTTCACCATAAAGGGGTTAGCAAGTATGTTCTTGAAAGTGAATGTGGCTATGTTAGAGCTAGATGGTATGGATCCGAATGTTGAACGGGTCAGGAATGTAAAATGGCAAATTAATGAAATTTTCCGATGCTATCATGAAATTTCTGAAGAAAAAAAGAAACTTACAAAGCACACCACACTAATGAGTTTCTTCTCAAAAGTGACACCCAGCACCATTACCACTAAAAATACAGGTACCTGTACAGATACTACTTCCATTTCCTTGCTGTCATCTCCCTTACCTGGGCCCTCTACAGCTCCTGATAACTCCAATGATGAACTTGAACTACTAGGTGCAACACTTTGAGGGATTTGATGACTACTGTACACTGCATACAGTATTTTCCAGCGCACAAAGTCCAGAATTAAACCAAGCTATTGGAAACATTCCTCTGAATTTTGATCCATGCTGGATCATGTAGTTCCTGCAGACGTCAGACCGAGACTTTCCTTTACCAACTTTTTTTCATGACTACGTACATGTAGTTCCTGCAGATGTCACAATGAGACTCTCCTGTTTTTTTGTTTTTTTATGAGTACAGTACGTACTATACAGTACAGGTAGTACTGTACAGATAAAATGTTAATGTTGTTGTGTTTTGCTTTTTTGGGGCATTTGCTTATTATAATTTTTGCACTGTACAGTACAGGTACGTACACTACTGTATTGTTATGTTTAGTAGGTACTGTAATGTACATACTGTACGTATTTAAGAGACTATTATTATTTATAAAATATTTTGCCAGGAAAGATACATTGAGATTTCACTCGTTTTCAAGTATGTACTGGGTCCACAAATCATTGCATTGTTACATTAGAGTACAATAAAATTCAAAAAACAGTATTAATACACCATAAATACAAAATTTAACATAAAAAAGGTAGGAAATATATAATCAACCATGACAGGTGCATTCTGTTTTGAGGTATGTAGAGAGGGATTTCTTAAAGGTCTTTAGGCTTAGGGAAGATTTTAAATTGTGCGGGAGGTTGTTCCACAATTGCGTTGCTCTGTAGGAGAAGGAGGATCGGGCTGCTTTCTTTTTGTATTGAGGTAGACTAAAGTGTTGCCTGGATCTGAGGTTATAGGAAGTGGGAACAGCTGGGGAAAGCATTTTGTTTAGGTAGGGTAGGAGTTTCCCAGAAAAGCTCTTAAACACAAGGCTGGAAAGATGAAGGATGCGTCTGGATTCCAGCGACAGACAGTTTAGTTCTTTTAGTATGTCACAATGGTCAGTCCTGTAATTACATTGTAGCACAAATTGGCAGAATGAGTTATGCAATGTGTTGAGTTTATTAATGTGGGATTGCGATACAGATGCATATACTACATCCCCATAACCAATGATTGGCATCAGCATTTGCTGTACAATCTTTTCTTTTACTGTAGGGCTTAGGCAGGATTTGTTTCTGTACAGGGCACCTAGTTTTGGATAAAGTTTAGATGCAAGCTTTTCTATGTGCAGGCCAAAAGATAGATTGGGATCTAACATCATACCCAAGTATTTGAAAGAGTGGACTGCGGTCAGTGTGCCATTTGAATTTGTTTTGATTGATAGGTGGGAATTGTGTAATTTAGGTACTGTTCCAAAGATCATTGTGACAGTTTTGTCAGTGTTCAGGAAGAGTTTGTTTTGTGCGATCCACTTTTCTACCTCTGTAAACTGGTCTTGGAGCACAGCCTCAAGCTGCGGTAGATTGGATTTGCTCGCATAGATTACTGTGTCATCTGCGTACATGTGTACATTTCAGGATTTGCAGACATTAGGCAGATCATTTATAAATAATGTAAATTGTAGGGGGCCGAGAATGGTACCTTGGGGAACACCACACGTGACTGGGAGAGGGAGGGAGTTGCTGTCAGAGATGCAAAATAAATAGTTTTTTATCAAGTTTGAGTTTCCTTTGGATCTTTTTTTTTGTTTGTAACAATGGTAATGTGAAGTACAGGTACTGTACTGTAGTGTACCGGTACATCCAGATTATAATCACGGGAGTGGCACTGGTAGATTACTCTACACTATGTACAGTATGACACTCTAAACTAAGAACAGTTTGACAACTTACCTGAGGTATGCCGAGATAGGAGTTGTAGAAAGGGTAGGGCCTGTAGTAGGGGATACAGTCAGTAGTGTGTGTGTGTTTTAGGGGTGCAGTGTGTGCATGTGAGGTGCTGTGTGAGTGAGGGTTGAAGTGTTTTGTGAATGCATTGTGTGAGTGATTCAGTGTGTGTGAGGATACAGTATACTTTAACTTAAAAATGTGTTTCAGGGGTGCAGATGATAATTGCAGCAAAGCTCTGAGCTCGTGAGAGGACAACCCAGCGGAGCTCCCTTGCCGGGTGCCCAGGCACACATCATGGCCAACGCTTGCATAGCGCCCTGCATGGGCCAGCAAGGGAGAACCTCGGCGCTGAAATACAGTATTTTCTCAGGAGTTCTCACACACAATGCGACTTTTGGCCACCTGCCACTGGATGTCCTTATGCTATGAATGAGGACATCACCCGAAACCCCATAGGAAAGCATTGTATGTACGTATTACGTACTGTAATGCTTTCCTATGAGAGAAGTCCTAATGCGAGCATGGCCATTAACGTGCATGCACATTAGGTATCCCCCATCGGCACTTTAACTGTAATCTGGGTTCTGGCTCATTCTCAGGTTTTCATTTGTGGGAAAGATTTGTGAGGTACAGCTTTGTACAGTGTAAAGCTGTACCTTGCATCTTTGCCACAAATGAGAAACCGATGAACGTTTGTTGGTTTCTCATTCATGGCAAAGATGTGAGGTACAGCTTTGTACTGTAAAGCTGTACCTTGCATCTTTGCAATGAATGGAAACCCACAAATCTGAACACGGCGAGATTCAACTCCACGAATTTCAGAGGGATCCCAGTACTGCACTGTACATTTAATGTACAGTAAAGTACTGTTTGTCATGGGCTTTCATTCGCGGCAAAGATGCAAGGTACAGCTTTACAGCAGGACAACTGCCTGTCAGTTCAGGCAGTCCCCCTGTAGGCAGCACTATGGATGCCTATTGCGGCCAAGTGATCGCACTTTCAGAGTGATGACATGGCCCTCTGGGGCCTAATTTGCTGAGGGGGGACTGTCTGGGTTGTCAGGCAGTCCGACCAGACCGGGAGTAAACATATGGACTTATTTGTCTTTACTTTTGACAGTTGAAATAGAACCTCTTCCTCTGTAAACTCATTTGTAACATATGACTCAGTTGTTCTTTTTCCTAACTGAGGTCCCTTTACTTCATTTTCATCTGTAAATACTGAACACAAATATTAATTGAGGCAGTCAGCTAGACCTTTATCCTCTTCTACATACCTTCCTTCTTTTGTTTTTAACCTAATTAATCCTTGTTTTACTTTCCTTTCCTCATTTATGTATCTAAAATAATGTTTTGTCACCATTTTTTACTTACTGTGCTATTTTCATTTTTGTGTGTGATTTGGAAGCTCTTATAACTTCTTAAACAATGTTTTGTTTGATCTGATTTAGAAAAATCTTAATGAAGAAAAAATGAAAAACATGTCATGCTCATACATGATTTGGACCCTGGATTCTAGTTGGAAAAACAAAATAATCTTAAACATGAGGCTGTTGTAATACACACTACGTTGCACAGCGCAGTTTCAATACCAGCACTAATTCATCTGTAACCACTATAATGTCTTAAAGCATGGAACTTAGCAGGGCTAACCATACAGATATCTTAGCCATAATTGTATATAGTTAGTAAGAGATCCTCTATTTAACATATATAAATAATTGAAAATACAATATAAAATAAGGATTGTCTTGGAAGCAATAATGTTTTGTCTTTTTAGATATTTATTATATAAAAATATGAATATAGACATATAAAATCCATTACAATGAGTTATAGCCGAGTTTATAAGATTAAACTAAATGCTTGCAAATATCATTAATAGATTAACATACTCTCCTTAACATGTCATCATGTAAGCCTCTCTTTCATTTTAAGATTGTCTCCAAGTCTCTCCTCTGTCCCTTAACATTTAAAAGTACACCTATTTATACCCTAGGTGTCTTCATTTTAGTGTCACCGTAGTTCATACATGAAAAAGTAACTTATTTTACTTTTATTCCTTTTAGGACCTCCCTTAACTTGCCAAATTACAAGGCCATAACTAAAGGGTGTACACATCATGGAAATTTTCCTGACTTAGGTCAAGATGGCATCTTAAAGTCTGAACATCTTTATCTACTTAGGGTTACCACAGTATTTTATGTACTGAAAGAGTCGTAGCATAGCCTTGAAGCTTGTTTATGCATTATTGTTATTGTAATTCATCAGAGACAAAATGGCGTAAACATAATATGCACTTAAGGCAAGTAAGAGGTTATTGCTTAAAGAAAAATGTATGAAAAACTATATGTTCCATTTCTAACACCTTGTCAGTTTGAAATATCTCTTAAAGACAAAGTACACAGTTTAAGAAATACAACATTTCATTCTAAAACTTATAATATTTGCATTTGCCCATAACACTACCCGGATGACTGCTGGAGATGTAAAACTCAGAGAGGGTCCAACCAAAGCATTTAGAGGACCTGTTGCTAATGTTAGGCCTTTTGGACATCTATTCACAGACTGACTTTCTGTGTACTTGGGGAGGAAACCAAGCATACAGGAATTAGTTAGATACTAAAATAATGGAAGACATGATTGTATTAGAAAAATTTGTTTTCTCTTAATTATTAAATTTTGTTGCTATGGTAATAGCTCCACCGTTCAGACAATGTCAATCAACTTCTATTCTTCTATTAGTCATCAGGATTTTTTTCCCCATTTTCTCCCCCTCCTTGTCTCTCTTGGACAGGGGAGAGCAGGAGGAATCAGGGAATCAGGGTACAGAAAAGTAAGTAAGGGTAATAACAGTAATAGAAATGAAAGAATATGTAAATGATTATGGATAATATGTAAATGATTAATTATCATTATTTGTTTGTTTGTTTGCTTCATCACGGTGTATTTTTATAAGGTTTTAAACTGATGATGTGTTATCTTAACAATTCTGTGTGATATGGTGGATGTAGGGCTATAGTTACTTCCCTGTGAATTTAACAGCTGCAGTCCATACTTGAAATCCCAATCAACACTCCACACCTTCGAGCTTGGAGAAAACACAACACCAAAGTTAAGTTTCAAATCAACTCTGTGTTTATTGGTATACCTCAGGTTATATCTAGTGATGCACCGAACGGTTCGCTGGCGAACATAGCGTGTTCGCGTCCGCCGCGGACGGCGAACACATGCGCGGTTCGATCCGCCCCCTATTCGTCATCATTGAGTAAACTTTGACCCTGTACCTCACAGTCAGCAGACACATTCCAGCCAATTAGCAGCACACCCTCCCTAGCAGACCCTCCCACCTACTGGACAGCATCCATTTTAGATTCATTCTCAAGCTGCATGCTTAGTGAGAGGAGGGAAAGTGTAGCTGCTGTTGATTAGATATGGAAATGCATAGCTAGGTTAGGGTATACAGTGTCCACTACAGTCCTGAAGGACTCATCTGATCTCTGCTGTAAGGACAGCACCCCAAAAAGCCCTTTTTAGGGCTAGAACATCAGTCTGCTTTTTTTTTTTGTGTAATGTAATTGCAGTTAGTTGTCTGCCACTGCTGCCAGCTTCTGTGTCAGGCTCACAGTGGATACTGTGCCCATTTGCCCAGTCAGTGCCACCACTCACTCACTGGTGTCACAATAGCTTGCATTTAAAAACAAAAAACTTTTTTCACTGTTATAGATTGAATAGCAGTCAGTGTCCTTAAAGCGGGTGTGTCAGGCTCACAGTGGATACGGTGCCCAATGCCACCACTCACTCACTGGTGTCACAATAGCTTGCATTTAAAAACAAAAAACTTTTTTCACTGTTATACATTGAATATGAAAGTGGCCTCTTTGAGAGAAATATTTCCCACAATCAGAACAAAAATAAGGTTTCTCTCCTATATGGCTCCTCAAATGATGCTTAAGATTAGAAGCAGCTGAAAAGCATTTCTCACACTCAGAACAAAAATATATTTTTTTAACATTCTCTCCACTTTGAACGAAATTACGTTTGGGAAGAGATATTGTATGAGTAGGTTTTTCCATGTACGATACGGGAACATGATTTAGATCCTTGGTAAGTTTTGCGAGATCCAATAGTGTGTATGTAGGGGGAACAGTCAATTCATATCTGCCAAGTGACCCTATGTAGGAGGAACAGTCTCTATTCTGCCCTGTCAGCTCTTGCGCTGGGATAGCCGGCAGAATGTCAAGCTCTGTACAAGGGTCAAAGGGAGGGCAGAGGCCAACTGCACTCTGCCCAGCTGCCAGCTCTTCCGCTGGTATAGGCTGCAGGACATCAGGCTCTGGACAAGGGACACAGGGAGGGCAGAGGCCGACTGCACTCTGCCCAGCTGTCAGCTCTTCTGCTGGGGTGCTGGGAACATAGTCCGGCTCAGTAGCCAGGGGAACATGGGAGTCAGTGGGGGTTAACATCTCCTCTGTTAACCCTGGGGCCAAGTTAGGAGTTAGCTGTGGAGGGGAATTCGTACTTACCCCCTCCTCCTGTTGTCCCTGTGAGGGTAGTTGGGGATCTGGACAGGCTGTCCAGCCTCTCTGTAGGTCGGGCACGGAGACCATGGTCCCCTCTGTGCCATCTGGGAGATTGGTGTCTCCCCTTGGTAGGGTAAGCTGCCGCTGGGGAGATAGGGTGCTGTGCTCCTCTCCCTGAAACACAGTCTGCCGCTGGAGAGGGAGATCGCCTGTCTCCACTCCCATAACATTGTCCTGCTGCTGGAGAGAGAGACCAACTGTCTCTGCTCCCGGTAGGACACACTGCTGCTGGGGGGGATGGACGACACCTTCGGCCCCCTGGAATTCACACTGCTGCTGGGGAGGAAGGGCGACACCTTCGGCTCCCTGTAATTCACACTGCCGCTGTGGAGGAAGGACGACACCTTCGGCTCCCTGTAACTTGCACTGCCGCTGGGGAGAGAGACCGGTTGTCTCTTCTCCCTTGTCAACACACTGCCGCTGGGGAGTCAGACCGACTGTCTCAACTCCCAGTGATGATGGTTGCTGCAGGGACGAGGGACCGACAATCTCCTCTCCCTGGGATGCTGTCTGCCGCTGGGGAGAGAGACCGGTTGTCTCTTCTCCCTTGACAACACACTGCCGCTGGGGAGTCAGAGCTACTGTCTCAACTCCCAGTGATGATGGTTGTTGCAGGGACGAGGGATCGACAATCTCCTCTCTCTGGGATGCTGTCTGCCGCTGGGGAGAGAGATCAATTGGCCACAGCCCCAATCTCCGCAATCGGAGCTCAAATTCCCATGCCGCTCGATTCTCCTCATCCAACTTGCGCATGGTTGCCAGGATCGTCTCTAACGAGGGATCCGGGCCATACCTGGTTAACTGCCTCTTTGCCTCCTCCCAGTAAGTGGCACCCTCAAAGCGATAGGTCATGTTTGCTGTGACCAGGGGCGCTGTACGAATACTAGCGTTGCCCTCAAATTGTAATTCCAAACGTTACCGGTGCCTCTGCGCTGCTTCTCCTCGCACTAGGACGTCATTACACCGCTGCCACCACTGTGACGGAACCGCTGGCACCCCGACCGGGTACCTTCCGCCGACAGATGCTCCTAGTGCTTTCCGAGGACTCCAAGCACTCTGCCCGACACCATAACCACTGCAGACCCCACAAACCACCGCAGCTTGGTTGGGGTCTCGCCGTCTCCACCCACGCTGGACCCAAGACCAGGGTCCCACTTCCAGTAGGTCGACCTCTCCAAATTCCAGAGAGCAGGAACAGGAACAAGCTCTTAGCAGAGCTTAGTGATTATACCCTGGGGAGTATAGTGATTATAGCAATCCCCAGAGTGTAGTTTCTCCAATCCCCCAAACATGAG